CGTTTTCACAGCACTGACTGAACCAATTCGAACGCGACAGACATGCAAAGACTCTGTCTTAAGAGAAAAGGTTGCTACAGTATGCTACAGTATGGTCAGTGTCAATTTGGGATGAACAATCCCCTCCAAGGTTCATTGGGAGGGTTGGAAATCTGCAAGAACATCTCTGCATAAAGTAGAGGGTTGAAAGCAAGTCATTTGCAGGAGAAACGCAACAAACTAGTGTGCATGTCCGATGGTAGTGGAAACTTATGGCTAAACAATTGTACAAGGTTTTCCAGGTTAGAATTTGCACAAGATTGCCCAAAGGCTGTTAGCGTTGCAGAGTTGGGCTGCAGTTGCCGAATCTTGGGTTACTATATCTCTTTTATTAGGTCAATGAACTTTCAAGTGCTACATACTGCTTCCCGGATTTGGAACCTTTGCGCAAATACCGCTACTTTGTTCATCTTTGTTCCCACTTCACCTGCTGCAACTGATTTCACTTTGAATTGACCATCCATGCTTCACTGAGAAGGCCTAACTTGCCATGAAGACCTGACACAAAACGTCCAACCCACTGCCACCGCCACACCGGTTCCAACGCCTCACCACCTCCTCTCGACCACTGCGACACACCACTCCTCACTCCGCTCACGCCATCACGCCATCACCGGTCTCCGAGGATGGGCCTTTCACCTCAGGTCCCAAGGGGCGAGGACGGCTCGGGGGCTTCCAGAAAGCAGCGGTAGCCCGTGCGGCCCATCCCTTCGATCGTGGCCTCGGGCTGCGAGGAACGGGCTTTGATGGGAGGGTTGATGGGAGGGATGTTCATATAGGAACTGTGAAAAAGCTGGGTCAATGAACAAAGATGGGCAAAGTGTTCGGTGTATATGAGATGTTATGTCAATTAATTTGTGCGTGGCATATTGTGGAAGGTGCTTTCCAACATTGGTGACTGCTTTCATCTCGAGCCAGTCATTAATACAAGCATGCATTAAGAATGCCCATATATGCCCGCACTATCGCACGATGACCAAAAAAGTGAGGTGAACACACATTTGACTGCAAACCACAAAGCAACTCACAAAGCAGCTATACTGCTATACATTCAACTGAAGATTTACAAGTCCGAACATGCTCGTGCTTCCGAGGCGGGGCACGCGCATTCCCACGTCCTTTTCGTTTCGGAAGACCCACAGAGGTTCGTGGACTCCGTCTCGGGACGGTCACCGGGGCGGTGCCTGGGGATCCTTCGGTCGGCCGGTCCGTTCGTTTCGCGCCGCGGAGGACCGGAACGGGCCTGAACGCCGCCTTTCTTGAGGCGGAGCTCCCGTTGCAGTGGGTGCATCGCGTATTCGCCTGGAAGGCGGTGACACGATGTCTGAAGAGGAGAGAAGCCGTGGCACGAAGCCGCTCAAGACACATGTGGAAGTCGTTGATTGGTTGGGGATGTGTCCCACGTCACACGAGGTTCTTCCAGTTTGGGCGGGTTGAACAATCAACACCATGTGGATCGCAACAGATTGGGTGGATGCAGTGATCTGTCCCATACACTCCATGTGCCATATATGCCTACATTGACCCCCCGGTAACCACCCCGGAGTGTCTGGGTGTGATTTCTCTGGCCCATACAGTATGTACTTTCTCTGTGGTCCGAGGAGGTCCCAGGTCAGACCTCTTGTTCGCAGTTCCCAGGTTCCGGCAGATCCACGACCACGTGCCCGGTCGAAACGAGGCACTCAGGTAGGCCGTGACCCCGGCAGACTTCACCAGCTCTTCCCTCCTCAGTCGGAGGCTCGGCTCAGCGGTACATCGGAGAAAAATCGGCGATTTCGCACAGCGCCAAGCTGGGGCGGAGAAGGGTGTGTTCAAACAATCCCCCTTGTCTGGTGGTAAGTCCTGGCAGCTTTTCCTTTTATAGAAAAAAACGGCTATGAAATACTTTGGCTATCATTATTCTCTATAAAATGAATAGCCGTCCTTTCTATAAAATGCATAGCCATATCCAGGCCTCTCAAAACCAAAAGGCTACAGATCACAGCTTGGATCTATAAAATGCTTTGCCTTGAATCGATACCACAATATCACCTCCAGCAAACTGTACTTATAAAATTAGTTGGCCTCAGAATACTGAGACCATATGCGCAGTTATTTAACACAAAACGCTAGAATTTCAATCAAATGGTTTTGCTGTAGAATCATAGACAATCATCGGGAACCAAAAGTTTTTTAATGAAATGAGTTGTCTCACTTTGGCATGGTCTTAGCAGCAATCCTCCGTTCCCCAGTTGATCTTTCTATGAAATGATGTTGTGTAGATTTATGTTCCAATTTCCAAACTCATGTTTTTATAAAATGACCTGTGTCCAGACCATTTCGTAGTGGAAACAAATACTCATTTCATAGAGGATCAATCATGGGGGATTTCAAAAGCACAGGTGACTACTGTTTAAATACCGGAGTGGGGCACTGCTCTGAACATGTTGCCATCTAAGTCACTTCCCTAGACAAGGAAGTACTACAGCCACAGCTTGGCTTGTCCTACTTGGCACAAATTGATTGGCCTCATCCAGCCTGGCGGAGTAGAACTGTTTCACAGCGGGATCTTGCTCACTTTGTGGCCTTCCCTCTTGGATCTCTCGGGTAGACTCCCTCAGTTTCCCTGTTGTGTTTTTTCCACTAGTTGGATTTGAGTGGTGAAACCACTCCCCCACAAAAAGGGTGATATTATTAAAGCAAAGCTATAAATACTTTTCCTGGCTAAGTCATGGGAGTCTCGCAGTTCGCTTGCGCATCACTGGCATCTCCTCAGCGATCACACCGCTCCCCCGTTTCGTCGCCCCGCACTCATCAGCACTCCCCCCTGGTCGCATCCTACAATTACATCTCGAAGTGTTATTTTTTCTTGGGTCAGTTCAAGAGAGGTGTGTCAAAACCAAACGCGTCCAGTAATTAAGGTCCGATCTGTCTAACAAACAGACTGTGGTGCAACAACAGTGCCTAAGCCTAAGCAACATAAGCTGTTGAACTTCATCAGCAACCAATGTGTTTGGATAGCCAACAATTCTTGGCCTACGAAGTTGCGTCAAGGCTTATGGCTCCAAACTGTAACGGGTGCTTCAGGATTCTGCGCATCACACAACGGCTCGAGAGATCCGACCCGGCTCGACAGCCAAAGCACCAAGTCTTGTAGATCTTTCCATTCTCTTCCAGGACACCAGGCAAGAGGAGCCACTGACCATCCTGTCGTTCTTTTCGACCCAGTTCTGTTTCGTTGTTTCGCACCAGCAAGACGAAACACATCCTTGTGAGTGAAGCATTGCACCAAAACCTATTAGTATGGAAGTGGAAAGCCCCCCGTTTGTACAGGAAAGTAGTCTTCCAAGGGACCATGCCATCCACTTCCATGTTAGTGAGTCGGAGTGTAGTTGTAGTTGATGGATGTTGATGGTGCCTTTGTCTTTCACGGCATTGGAAGACCCTGCTGTCCAACGCCGTTGAAAGTAGACCACAGCGTACTACATGTGTGTGTGTGTGTCCAAGTTAAAACGTGCGTGAAACGCATACAATTGCACATGATATCACTATAGTAGGACTATAGGTAGGGGAAAGGGACTCTTCCTCTGCGTCGATTCAAGAGGGCGATGGCTGAAATTCAGAAAGGTCCGCGAAGTTGCCACTGATCAACCACTAGGTCACTGAGTAGCTCTCAGTGTGCCAAGCACCTACTGACCTTTTGCACACTACTCGACATGGCAACATTCTGAATGACAATGATACAAATTCATGCAAGCCCTTTGAAGATCAGCCCTAAGCATCCGAGATCAAAAACGAGATGTTGCTTCGTGGTATTTGGCGTCAACTCCCCCTAACTTGGCACTCACCAAGGAGTTTTCTTACAACATCTCTTCTTTTAATTAAGGTGTTCCACAAACTCCAATGTGAATCTCACCTGTTCTACAAAGAAACAGCTTGGAGTGCACTGAAATATCTGCAGTGGTCAGTCCACATCTATTTTGGAGTGTTTGCGTTTATCCAAGCATTCCGGCCCCACTGACAGCAGCTGCCTCGTCCTTAAAGTACTTGGAATATGCCTGTCAGAAGCGCATGACACTCCCGCAGGAGAATCTAATATTGAAGAAGTATGTATAAATTCATAAAACATCCTAAAACCCAATACACCAACACTGGGAGGTCTAAACAAAAGTGCCTCCACATGTCATGATAAACAACATTTCCTTTGAGATTGCGGCTCCTGATGGCTCCTGAAACAGCCATTGCACCCCCCTTCTTCCCACAGGTCCCACAGGATGCATGACACTGTATATAGACGAATCCCGCAAAACACACACACAAACACATGCACATACAGCATGGGCGCATCGACCCAGCCTTGGCTGGCCTGTTGTGCAGGTGTTTCACATGAATGGTCGCCTGGTCTGGGCGGACGGGGAGAACGGCGAATCGAGCGACTCGGTGGGGCTGCAGCGGTGCACGGTTCATGGCACCCTTGACCAATTGCTCTGGTTCGCCATCTGGTTGGATGCCCAGAACCGCTTGGTCGATTGCGGTGAGACCAACACGCCCATGTCGAGGCCGACGTTCACAATTTGGTCAGTCACTTGACGTTCGCCACAACCGATAGACACGTTCGCCATTCTTGGAGGCATAGGCCCTAGCTTGCTAAGTGCTTGGTTTACACCTTGTTCTTTCGATGTTTCGCATGAAGCAAGGACCCCTGAGTATGAGTTCAAAACGGATGAGTGTATATAGCTACTATCAGTATCGAGCTCATCAGTGGCCTCTGCAAAAACCTCAGGAAAACATCTATTCGCCCTCAGCTGTCTATGATGCTCGGAAGCAACCAAAGAAGGAAACCGATGTGAACGTCCGAACCTACATGTTTCCCCGTCCGATAGAGACCGAACATTGGACAAAAAAGATGTCTTCCAGCTCCTCCAGCCAGCTCCTCCCCCTCCAGCCGGCTCCAACCGACCAAAAAAGAACAAGACTTCGCCCTATAGCCCTCCATGATGTCTTTCCAGTTTCCCATGGTTTTTGCGGTGTCGTCTCCGTCTTCCCGCCCCACTCATCCCAGGGGCATGGTAGTACTGGGGAATGTCGTTGGGACTGGGCAAATCCACCGATTCGCATTCCCATTCCACATCTTCGAGCCTCGTGAGAAAAAGCGGCCCCAACCGGACGCGGGTTGGGCGGGACACGCCCATGGGGGCGGCTTTAGAGAGGCTTCCTCTGGGCTGATCATTTGAGATGAAAACAAACAGCATCATTTTACGCTATATGTGTCTTTATGTTGTTTTTGTTGTATCAATGTTTTTTTTTTTCCGCGGTTGATCCATCTCTCTCTCTCTCTCTCTCTCTTATGTTTGCTCTTCAAAGATGTCAAATTGATCTAGGATCATTTACGTAATTGTCTTTGGAAGCCCCTAACGGCTGTGAGCACAAGTGAGCACCAAAACAGCCTGGGTCTTTGCCCTTACTCTTGTCTTTGCCCAGGTGCATGTTGAAAAAGCCTTCCAGCATTCCATCCGTGGAACTCAATCGACGTCCAAAGCCCGCATCACCGGCAACGGTCTAAGCATCGAAAAATGGTAGACCGTTGATGTGCAGTTTGAGGGTAGAGTTTCATAAGAGTCATTCGAAGGCATTCAGCAAGAATCAAAAACACATTGTCAGAATTTCGGAAGTCGAACTCTCATATGGGTAGGATATAGGTAGGGGATTTCCATACGGAGACTTTTGATCACATCTGCATGTAGCAGCTAAGCAGCTATGCAGCTATGCGTCATCTTTTCAGGACTAAGGATGGGGTTCTTGAACGTTGTCCCCTTCAAACACACAACTATTGGTTCCGTCTATCCATTCCCTGTAACAGGGGATGTTGATGTTTAGTAAAGGCCTTTCCCTAAAAGGTGATACTTGTTTACCGACTCTTAGGTGAGGTGGGATTGGAGGAATGACTGATCGAAAATGACCTGGCTGAGAAAAGCCCTGTCCTCAAACAGACCTTCCATGCCAGCGTCCTTCACATAGGCCTCAAAAACGATGCGCATCGATGCGCCATGAGTCATGGAGTGGCCACGCACCGGCCCCACGGAGGGGGCACGCCCTGGATGTGGTCCGTCTCCCGAAGGTGGCCGTGCCCCGGTGTGCTGAAGAGCTCCCTGTTCACCGTGATGTTTCACATGGAAGACATGATCAGAATCTATGCACCGACATCGATTTTCCATTGACACTTGCGGAGAAAAAGACACTTTCTCCGCTGGGAGACTCACCGCTTGGCTGGTGAAACCCTGGGAGACTCACCGTGATTCACCGGACTAAGCACCCGAAGTGGTCTATCCAGACAATCCATAGAGATCAATAGAACATAGTAGATGAGAACAACCCAAAGATGCTTTTTAAGAAAGACCTGCTGGGCTTTGCCTCAAGGCATATCCCTGGGCACTACTGCCTGTAGCGGTGTCCCAAATGGTGCTTGGACAGCTCCTGATACACTGGTGGACCACGAGTGTTGCCCCCATCTTCAAATGTACAGCGGCCTCCATGGCAGCATCTGCGGTCATCTCCTCAGGCGTCGCATCCGTGGGAGGACCTTGTAACCCTTGTGACTTGTGTGACATCTGCTGAGAGAACGGATCCCAACACTTCCAAGCTTCCAAGATCCCGGTGCAGCGACTCTTCAGGGTTTGGAAAGTGAGTGCATGCACATGCACTCACTTGAATTGAACCAAGTGCTCACCTATACGCTGAGAATAAACAATATATCTTAATATTGTATATATATACACAGTATAGTCATCTTGACTTTGCCCCTCCTTCTAAACTCCTCCTCTTACACAAGGTATCCCAAAGCTCATACCCTCCCTCCACCTACAGTAACTCCTACACCTACATGCTTCATCGAAAAGCAGTACTTACTTCCAAACACCCGGAAGTTGTCCGTCTCGAGTGTCCGAACATTGATCTTCCATCCTCCTGTTGCCTTACCGGAAGCCCTGCCCCCCATGCCACAAACCAACGCTCGTTCAACGTCCAAGACGCGTAATCGTCCAAGGTAAAGCGTCCCTTTTCGCTGTAGAGATGGATCACGGAGCCACAGCGAGAGGACCGGAGTCGCAAGCGCTGAAAGCTGGTGATGGTCACCTCACAAAAGCCCCATAAAGCGCTGCACTGCTTCGTAAAAGCCCCCACGCGGGAAGCACGAATGAGCCGAAGAATAAAGAACATACTAGAGGCATCTTGAATGGTGAAGTGCGGATTGAAAAAAGAATGTCCATGTTTTTCATGCCTTTTGTGTCGTTGGTCATCAAAGCTTCCAGTGTGTCACAGCTATATCAAGGGCCCTTATTGTAGCCAGCCAGATCCAAAAAGAATGTCCCAAAAGATCTCGCCTTTTTCCCTAAACGCACCAAACCGACCAACTTACAGGAGAGCGGTGTTGTGCTCCCTGATTAGTGTTTGACTTTGAGACACACGCCCTTGTCACTCGCCTTCAAGGTGTGCCCCAAGTTGTCCTTCAAGGTCAGTTGCTTCCTGGGCCGAAAAGCTCACGTCACGGCACCGACCGGTCGCACCTCCCTTCAACCGCGAAGCTCACGGCCGGCCACATGGAGACGGACTCAGTTGGTCCCCACCAAATGAACTATGTGGCCTTGAGGAGAGTCTTAAAAGACCACTCCTTGAGCCACCGAGTTGCCCCTCTAAGAAACCAGAACCTTAATATCGATTCAATTTGCAAACAGCAGTCGATGACATGTACATTTGCATTTTGCTTCAATCATCTCTCAAAAGAGAAGTTGTCATCCCTTGCTCATCTCCTCTCTGAGATTCAGCGAGCGGCCCAGCTATCAAGGCAAGCACCAAAAGGATACAAGGATACCATGATATAATGAGAGCAACATCCCAAAAGATGTAATCTGGATGGTGACGTTGGGAGACAAGAAATCATCCTCGAACAAATGTAGGGAGCCAATCCTAGCTGCCCTGGCTCCACAAGTGTTGTTAGTGGGGTGACACGACAAGTGGTACCAATCCACGAAGTCACACACAAAGATGGGCCTTGGCATGAGCAACGGTCCATAGTTCTCTTCTATTTGGAATTTTTGATGTCCTCATGATGTCCCTCTCAGGCTTATTAGTAGTAATAAACGTTTCCTCAATGGGTTGCCACCCTCCGCAGTAACCTCGCTGCCACTCTCCGCCAGGTCCGCCAGGTGTCAACTCTTTGAAGGAGTCATCCGGAAGGGTTGAAGACCTCGGGCACATCTGGACGGAAGCGCCGTGTCTGGAAGTATCAGTGGTTCCACCACAGGGATTTGTTGAAGCGAAAACACACACAATGTATACAGTGAGGTTTGGTCTCAATCTTGGAAAACGCACTGATGACCCTTCCACCATTGTTGTGGCTCTGTGGCTTCTTGGAATCATGAAAATGGTGGCCTTTGCCATCTACATATATAATATTGGTCATCAATCCAGCAGTCTAGCCATTGGGCAAAGGTGAGCCGAACCTGAAGGTCGTTCACATTCATCCACGACCGGAGCCGGAGTCTTTCGTCTCGCCAAGCGTCAAGCGTCGTGCGGTTTCTTTTTGGGCCACCGAGATCACATTGTTGGCAGCTTGGAGGCGGCGGCAGGTGGTGTTTTCTGGACAGGTGGCCTCGCAGTTGGCAGGTGGCGGCAGGTGGGTTTTCGGGGGTTTGGCTTGTGGGGTCTGTCTGAACTGTTTAGATGGTCTTTCTGAACATCTCTGTTTCAGGGACTGAAAGCGGCGAATGGACAGCAGCATTTTTCGCTCGCTGTCGGATGCTTTGGATCTGGACCACACTGGGATCTACCAGGTCTGCGAGTCTGCGATGTTTGTACCAACCATCTTGGCCAACTTAGGTCATCCGCATCAGGTCACATGTGGATCATGTACTTGTGCAGGGACTTGACCTCCACTCGACCTTTAAGATGTGACCTGCCGTGTCTCAGTTTCATGAAAACAATTCCAGAACCATGTTCTACCTTCCTCCTACATACCACCCCTGAAGAACTAAAAGGTACATGCTTGTGGCCTGGCCACAAGCGATCCATAGAAGCCACCTGTTTGTCTGGATATAGATGGATATAGTGTTCGAATGACTTCATGCATTAATCTTGTCCAAAGGCTACGGCTCCTGTACCTGCTTGACAGTCTTGAATCATGCCTCAGGACAACTCCTAGCTGCCAAGACACATTGGCACCAATAGCACCACGGATGATCAAGGAGCCATCTGCGGCCATCTCGAAGTCAGAGCTGGCCACCTGTGGTGCTTTGAGACACCACTTTCCTCTTCCACAACCACAATTAGTTTGGGCTGGTGGGTACCAGGACCAGCTGTGAACAGCGTGTTCAACTGCCTGGCTCCTTCGTAGCAAGTATTTGCTCCAATTGACCCTCACGACCCTCGAGTGTATAAATATAAGTCAACATGTGAACTTGCATCTTGGGGCACTACGGGGAGAACAAAGTTAGTGGAAACCCTTGAATTTGACCAATTTTGACTCAAGAAAGACCCCCTAGTGACATCCTACACACCGATGAAGAAACGCCAACATCTGAGCACACTCATATCTCTTCAACAAAATAGTTGTAGCTCAACACAACTGTATCTTCAACTTGATCAGTCGCAAAAGTAGGCGAAGCGACATCTTACAAAGGAGATTAAGCAAGCGTGAAAGGACAAACCACCGCTTTTGCCCATGACGCCCTGGTGGCCTCTCAAATACCCGATAGAATCCAAAGGTCTCAACTTTCCAAAGCCAACTTCTGCGGAACATCTTCCGATTTAGCTGCTTCCAAACCATGGTAGCACCGTGCCTTCCCCCAGGGATGACACACCTCACGCCTGGACCTTGTCTCCTGCCTTCTTGCCAATGTCCCTTGATCTCCCTTGCGATATACCCTCACTAACAGAATTACAACTCCAACCCCACCGCCTCCCCAGCTGCTGTCCATCTTCCACCAACCTCGGAAGTTCATTCTTCACACCTGTCGGGGTTCATCGACACCTCGCCCCTCTCGGGGTTCATCGCCCTCTCGGAGTTCATCGCCCCGGAGGAATCGCCTTGACCACGATCTGATTCCCTTCCGGATCGGTGGATTCCATCACGCCCGTGGAGGTGCCGCGCATCTCCTGGCAGAACTCGCCCCAGAGACCCAGCGGTGGTGGAGAGCGGAGGGCTCTAAGTGGCTCAAGTCCGGCATCCAAGGGTTTTCGGTGTTTTTGGTTCACTGCCTTGGTGATCTCCACCGCGGTGATGCTCAGCGCAAACATGGCACCCATGAGAAAGAGGATCACCAAAGCCATTGCTCAGCGCAACGGGGCACTTGGAGCGCTTGGCAAATGGGAACTTGGCAAGAATCTGCAAATGGGAGCTACAAGAATCCGTTTTCCGAGATTGAGGAACATGTACCAAGTCGTATTCCAGAACTCTGAACTCTTGCGTTCTTCTTCTTGGTACATGTCCTCAATGAGAAGAGATTTCTCAACGGCTCTGGACCGATCTCCAGCCCTCTGAAACGATGTTCTGAAACGGGATGGCGGGTCTGACACGAGAAACCCATACCCAGTGGATCCAGTGACCCACTATAGATAGTACATATACTAGTAACTAGTAGCTAACCATTGATTCGATAGATTTAAACATAAAACTGAACAAGGGGTTCCTTATAGAGTGGTCACTGAACTGGGATCCACTGGGATATTATTGGGTGTGTTTTCGATCAGGACGACCCGCGGCACCTGGTCCCCTCAAAAAAGGGACAATTGGGCTCATGAACCACTGCTAATCGATGCCATGAGTGGCGGGTTCTCCCTACTCTGATACCCATAGTAATTAATGTGTGTGTTTTTCGTTCTAAGGAGCTGTTGCTTGTGAAGTCTGAAGTGCTGTCTTTCTACCTGGCCAGTGTATTCTGCCCAGATTCATGTATTGGAAGCCTGGAAAAAACCTTCTATTCACTTAAACAATGGATCGCCCCCTATACTGCAAAGTAGCCCCCCAGAACTCCTGGCGAGCCAATGCCAAAGACCATTTCTGGCAATGCCCTTTTATATGTAAGTCACCGTTTGGGAATTCAGCCCAGAGTCTTGAGGGGGGTCAACCGGGTAAATTGTGCTGCCATTACCTCGTCAGCACCTGCCCCCTTGCAGCAAGGTGCCGACGATGATCTTCCTCATCAAACGGCCTTCTTGTTGAATCTGCGGCCGACGATCAATCCAGGCCAGGGGGTCGAGAAGAAAGAACATGAAGGAACTCTACTGTAAATCCAAACGGTCACGTGGAGATTCCGGAAAACTGTTCGTCTGACAGCTATTGAACAGCTATTGTTCATCTCTTGTCGGCCGCCCAAAGTCCCAACAATCATCCTATACTAGTTACTAGTATACTGTTGATCAACAAGCTACCACCTGGGAACAAAATCCATGTTTTGAAGGGATATGATCCATTTCATGGCTGATTCACAGTCTTTTTACTTTCTTCAGATGACCCAGGTGGCCAACAGGCAGGCCTTCTTGTAAGCGCCGGCCGCAGCGGTCAGCTCCTCCACTCCAACCATGCCACTCCCATCCAAGTCCCACTCGCGCATGACTTCCTGCCACTGAAGCTCGCTCGCGCGGTGGGAGAGAGGGCTCCAAAAGGCATGCGGCATATGCAGCATGTCTTGACAAATAATGTCGAGCATCAAACCAACGAACCAGAAGAAAGGATCAAGCAAGCAGTGTTTTGTTCTCTATATAATATAGTGTGTTGTTGTTCTCTTGGAATCTCTTGGAGAGCCAAACATGACTTTTCTTTGATGCCTTCTGATTGATAGTGAATGGTGATCCTCTGAGACTGAACCCTGCGCTTGCGCTTCCTCCCGTTTTCGGCTTCCAGCCTGAATTTGCTCGGGCAAGTGCTTGTAGGGCATCTCTTTCGAATTGTTGGCTTTTTCAGTCCTTACAACGGACAGACCGGACAGACTGCCCGTCACGTCACATCTCAACGACGCATGAGACATGACTCATATATCATGTCTCGTAATACACATTGATTTAGTTGAATGGAAGGACAACCTATTATAGTTCTAGCTGGCTAGACCATGCATATTCATATATACATATAAAACAATAATAGACATAGGGCAATAGGAATATTACTATATATGCATGTATTGCACGACTAATTACATATTACACCACTAATACGTTAATATATTATAGGTAACGAGCCCAAGGGCGGCACCGGAAGGAACTGCTTCGATCGGAACTAGGCTGAGAAGGAACTGCTTGCATCAACAAAAGGTTGGAATGGACAAGTTGAACTGGTTCCTATACTAAGATCCATAGAGTGTTGAAAGAAATGGCACTCCCTGAAACGAGCATGGAGGCGGAAAAGGGTCCCTTGGAGTGCAATACAACAACAACAACAACAACAACAACAACAACAACAACAACAACAGCAAGCCAGCCAGCTACCCAGCCAACTAAGCAACCAAACAACAACACAACCAAAAACAAACAAACAAACAAACAAACAAACAAACAACAAGCAAAACCACAAATAAAAAAACAACAACAAACCAAACACATAGTTTTTAACCATCGTGAATGAACACAAAGTTTCTGTAACACTCCTAACACTGCATGGATAGACCTTACGTGCCGTTGATTGACGCACCTAGTGCGGCCAAGAGTCATCAACAAGGTCAACAAAGAAACGCCATCTTCCATCTCCTGGTGCCATCAAGGCTCTGAAACCTCTCTCAGCTACACAGAGCATGGTCTTCCAGGCACTCAGATGCCATGCTGCTACATGATTATCAGAACAGGGGAACCCTGCTTGGATTTCGATCAATGGGAAGAGGACACATTGACCAACCCAGTGCTTGCAGGGTTCCCGATGAATAAATACACACTGCCATTAATGTGAGGTCCTATACTGTCGCCAAACTTTCTTTGCATCACCTTTAGAGGAATACTGGCCGATACTCTGGCCTCTTCAATTTCGCTGGAAAGTAGAGGTTAAGCCTTTTCCACCTGCTCGTTTTGAGTGGGGAATCTAATCCAGAAAAAGGGCTGCTATCCAGATACTTGATGATACTTGTCCAGGTTATCCAGGTAGTTCCTGGGTAGGACAGGAATCAGTGGAGATATACTGGAAGGTCCCCATTGCCCACACGGCGCTTTCGCACCTGGTTGGTCACATGGCCACTGCCATCGGTGTCCAGGCCTTTTTTCAAATGCCGGAGGATCCTCGGCGCCATTCGGGACACACCCAACACCCAAGTGTTACGCTCCTTTCCACGAAAAAAAGGGTCCTGGGATCCGAAAAAAGGAACAAACACAGGTCGACAAAGGCACCAGAAAATGACATCCAACTATGCTATAGATTTAAGAGTGCGGGTCCCAACTTTAGTCCATCCAGGATGCCTTTCTGGTCTTAGTAATGAATGAATGATCCTTTTCGCTCTTGGTGAAAATCCTCTACACCATTCTTCTAGTTGAACTGTGTTCTTTGAACGTAGCACAATGATATATAAGTACAACATTTCAGTCATCACGGCCAATCATGCCGAACCTCTGTCTATTTTGAATGTTTGATGTCTCTCCTCATGGATTTTAAGATCATGAGATCTGAAAGCCTGGAGATCAATGGACCGCCGGCTTCCCGATTCCAAAGTTTCTCTGTCCCTACTCTGAAGAGCTCGAAGATTTTTAGACGCCAAGAGAATCCCTGCAATTCAACCACGGCGATCACCACCAACAAATTACTGTAACAGTCATTCACCTTGGGTGCTTGTTTTTTTCCACCACACCGTTTGCCTGTGACCTCTTGAACAAAAGGGAGATCTATACTCCCCAGTTGGCGGCTCTTGCAGAACTCGACCTGCGTCGAACGCAAAGAGTCTTGAACCCTGTCTTGCACTCCCCAAAAACTATGCAAAAACCATGGGAGTGGGGGTGTTCAACATGGTCCTCCTATGTCCTCACTTCGCACATGGTCGCTCCGACCCACCTGGACCGATCGGACGGATCGGACCCACCGGATGATGTTCGACAAAGCGGTGTGCCCAGGTGCTTGAGCGAATCCTCCAAATTCTTCTCGTCCACAAAGCCTGCAAAGTCTTCTTCGGGGAAAAGCTGGGGGGCACGGTCGACCAAGTGTTTCTGAGGCGAAGCGACTCTGGCAGTCTTGAGATATGATAACCAATCTGAACCATGATGGCATGGACCCATCCCTAATTTTTTTAGTATATATTACTTCTGCTCAGGAAATTTCAAACCAAAAGTCTAGGTCGCACTGATGCAATTCTGGGAGGCGCTACCTGGAAGAGCCTAGCTCGCTTGTGCTGCAAAGGCTCCCGGAAACATTTATATATGGATTTGATTGCTGTATTTGTTTTGCCACTAGTAGTGACTGTCAAATTCCAGAAACCTTCGTTTCACAAATACCTAATTGGTGTGCCTCTATGTTTAATCAATTTGCAACAGTCTGTGAAGCCTCGAAGAAGGATACCCCAGTCAAGAACCTTCTATTTTTCTGTGAGGCAATTGTTCACTGCAATTGCGAGGTGACATCGTTGCAACTTGAACCAGATTATATAAATTCTTAAACCTAGCTATAGCTGAACCAATTAATCTGGCTCAGCAACCCCCCAAGCCAAACCACTGAAATCGCAAATAAGCTGGAAATGGTCAAACAATGCAAACCATTGGTGCTCAATTACCAGGGCCACAAAGGAATGGTGGATGTAGGTGAAAACTGCAAGGCTTTTGATGCAAATCTTCAGGTGAGCCCGTCTAACAAGGACCTACCTAAATCATGAGGCAGGTCATTCAACAAACTGGACAGCAATTGATGAGTGGCTCCATCTCAAGTGGTCTCCAAACATTGTCCTTCCACTAGCTGCTCCCATATGTGTTTGGGTGTGAGCACAACATAATATGGATATGGCTACCCAATACGGCTCAACAAAAATAGGATACCTTTACCCCTGCTCAAACAAACACAATGAAAAACACCCCCCTGGCAAAGGCAACCACCTTCCTCGAACCCTGCTTGATCTACGCTGCTGAGATCTAGCACGCCCTTTGGGCGCCTCTGAGACGACCCCGCGCGCGTGGGTGGGTGAAACCGGTGGGTCTTTCTGTCGCAGGTGGCGCCTGAGGCATCCAGGTCCATCTCTCGGAGGACGTGCTTCAACCTCCTGGGGATGTCCATCTTTTCGACCTCCAGAAGGCTTCCATCCTCACACCTGGAGATCGAGGTTATGCAAACACAGGTGTGGAAGGCAAACAGTGGTGTGGGTGTCCAAAAATGGAACGGAAGATCTACTATATATAATAGTCATCATCTCAAGATGTAGAATATTATTCCAATAAACACTATATGCCTATGCCTATGCCTGATAGGAACATCAAGGGGTTCGGTTTGGGAGCACATTCATGGGGTGTGATAAGAGCTTGTTTAAAGGACCTGGAAAAGACAAAAAGCAGCAGCTTCCAACATGCAATCTTCTAATTAATTAGTCTTCTAACTCGTGGTACTACCCATCTGCAGCCCAAACAAGCCGGTCAACTTGTTTTTTGTGTTTCGTTTCGTTCGTCTTGAGATTCGTCTGTCTGAGAACTCTCCCTATACAACATCTATACAACGTACACATATCAGCAAATAACAAATCATATCGACGTAAAAACTAAATAAGTTTGAAATAAAACAACTAAGTTTAGAGCGAGCATTCCGCTTCTAAGAAATGGCACACACCCTGAAACAGTCAAACAGTTTCTCATGTTTCTCTAACTATAAATGGCCTGCGCCATGTGGGACCTCGGATTCCAGCGATGTGAGCCAGGTCCTAGACCCGCACCTTTTTGGAAGACATCGCTCCAGTGGCGCTCCAGCATCGTTCTGAGCAACCATAAGATAGGTCCATAGGTTGTGAACATGTCAAACCCATTCCTCATCACACCTCCAGAACAGGTACAATAACTTATGACATCCAAGGTCTCCTAGACTATATATAGGTAATGTATAGTTTTTGTATGTTTTTGTAGGAGTTTGTAACTATGAACCACTTGGAAATCCAAACCCCGAACAAGCACGGGGGTGCCGGCCACCGTCGAACTCGACGGTTGCCCCGCGAACGTGCGCGAAAAAATGCTTTCGCCTAATGTGCAACGGCTTCTCGGACGGGTTTGGTTCACTGGGCACGGGGTTTGCTGCCTCAGCGCTCCGAAGAGTTCAGGGACGGTTGACCGGTCCTCTGTGTGGTGCCCTTCACATGACCAGTTTGTAAGAGAAAAGAGATCCGTCTGCACGCATGGTCACTCATGATCTCTGAAAAGTCCGAATCGGAAAAGTGGTGTGTTGACTATTTGATGATCTCTATGATGTGAATCATGGGAGGAATGTAGGAATCCCCATTGAACGTTGAGGAACCGTAGGAAGCCCCGCAGCCAGGGAAATGACCAACATTTGCCGACTGAAAACTATATGTTTTGGTAGAATGATGGCGCACACGCACAGGCTGTCGTTCCCCATTAGAGCTGTAGAAGGCGTGACCAGTCTTTTTCTGTATACTGCTCTGATTTCGGAACTCATTTTGGAGATGTCCGAGCCTAAGACATGTGAGTTAATTACTCGTGACGCCAAGTATGTATGCTTAGGAAGAACATGTGAACAATTCATGGGCTTTATCAAATCTTGCTACATGCATGCCACCCCTCAGGGTGGCTATGTGTCGACGTTCTGATCTTCATACGTCACCCCGTCACCCTCCAGCCAGCGTGTTGCAGCAAATCAAGTTTTAGGGTCCCAACTTCAGATCCCGCTTGACAAGAACTCCGCCATTCAACTCCGCCACGGGGCACTCCAGGGCCAACCCAACGCACCAAAAAGCGTAACTGAAGCCTGTTTCCACCCACCCAT